AATCTTTTAATATATTATTTTATGAGATTTACAAAATCCAACTAAATGTGTTGTAGAGTTTTAAAAATTAATAAACAAATTATCTTCCATATTTTTTTCTCAATTTGTTTTGTCTTTTGAGTTGAACTTATGTTTCTATTTTAGTAGTTGGGTACTAAATTTTGAACACTAAAAGTTTACCATTAAAACACAAAAGTTTCGTTATTCAATTTTATAATTTATAGAGCATATAAAACACCGATTATAAAATATTACCCTTGCTCTCTATTGTTGTGACAATAGTTTATAAAGTATCAATGCCCATATCATTCCTTTAAATCTTTTAATTATAAGACTATTTTTTACTAAGGATAAAGAAAAAATTATGCAAGCAAATAAGAGACAACTCACGCTAAGTTAAATGAGATCTCGTGGCCAACATGTAACTCAAACTCACATAAAAGACCACAAGGAAATTCATGGCAATATAAGAGATTACATGGAGGCTCACAACCTAAAGAGGAAGCATATTGAAGCCCATAGCTTTATGAGTTCAAAAGGCCACAATTTAGGTCTCATAAGGCATGGAAATCACAGCTTGGTCCATTTAAGTGAAGAAAAAAAAGATCCAATTCAAGTTCAACAAAATCCATATGGAGACAAGTTTATGATGAGCCCACTTCAAGCTGCATTTGGGATTTATGGATGGAAAATCACAAAGAGTATGAACCAATAAAGTTTACATCAGGGGTTAATCCATGAAAAAGAGAGCCATGGGCCAAACTCTGAAGGCCTCAAGAGGGGAAAACTGGGCTCACCACGTTAAGGAAGGAATTGGCTCTAAAGTGTCCAAAAATCCTAGAAACTCGAGCAATAGAGAATCCTATACGTTATGGACTTGTGGAGAGCTATTTTTCAATTGTTTTATCATAAAAAACTAGCCTTAAGGTGTCTTAAAGGTTAAGGACACTCAGTCAAATGATAGACATCAAGAATCATCAAAATATTATACTCCTGCCCAAATTATCTCCTTGCCATACACTTCTCTTATCATGGATAGCTTGGATGGAATTGTAAAATATATTAAACACATGGAGGATTAAAAATTCTTATCTTATAATGGTATGGTAGATTCACTCATCATAATTCATCTAAAAAAGAGTCCTATAAGTATAGCATTCTAGCTAACAAGTATCATACAAAGTTTACACTCAATTAGCTATCAAAAGGAGTTTTTGATTCCTTGGACTCTCAAGTTAGCTTATATAGTTTACAAGTGGAAGTCATCCACTCTTCTTGGAAGAGTAATAACTGAACACTTCTCTTTTCTAAGATATATTGATCATGCGAATAATAAGAGTCCCAAAATCTTGGACATTTAATTGTTCATTTTTTCACAATATTTTCTGAACACAACTCTCTTCATAAATGGTTTTTAACTTTAAATAAATCGCACAAGGATTTAAAAATCCTTATCCTACAAATTATGATCAGGTTTCACATCAAAATTGAGAGTCTTTATCAATTTAAAGTCTTTACCAAGATAGGAAAAGAAGAATCCTATTACTACAAGGCATGACCGGGATTAGACTTTTCTTCACTCCATGGACAAATTCAACTATAGAAAATCAAGGATACGAATCTTTATCCCGCAAGGTCAAGGCTGGATTTTTGTTTATCTTCAAGGCCGAGAATCTCATCCAAATAAGTGACATTGTTAAGCACTCAACATCAAAGATAAAGATCAAATATCATGACTAGCCACATATATACCATAAAAAATGTCATAATTTATCTTATATTATTATTATTTTAAGGAGTCCTTGTAATTTTAAAGATATGTATTTAGTAGTTCAATTTCTATTATAGTTCTAATGACCTATATCTATAAGTAGGCCATCATTATAATCATTCAATTCAAAATTTAAGTTAAAGTTTGAGATAAATAAAATTAAAGTTTTTTAGCTTTGGATTAGTCGTTGGATAAGTTGCTCTTTAGGGAGGTCTCTTCAATCTTTTTTTGAGTGGACATGTGATGTTTTTATTAATTTTGTTTGAGTTAATTTTAACTTATCAAGATATTTTTTGTGGCATTCTAATCAATTCATTTATCGCTATTACCTTAGTTTACAGTTATAGGCTAATTGTGGATTAAATAAAAATGGTTTATTTAGGAATTTAAGTTTTGCATGCTAAATTGTATGTGTGAATTTTAGATTACACTTATTGATCCTGGGTTCCGCATCACAAAACACTGTTTGAAGTAGACTTATTAAGGTACACCATCAAGGTCTCCCAACTATCTAACAAAGAACTCAAAATAATAATATCTGCATTTCATCATCTAGAGTTATTTTTATGGTGCTCAATTGATTTACTAAGTCTTGAAATTTACTCAAGTATTCTGCTATTGATCATCAATCTCATAACTTTCTGATAATAAAAACCTTATTCTAAGCACTTTCATGTGTATATACTTTCTAATTTCTTTGAAAAAACCTATACATTAGCTTTTTTACTTATGTAATGGTAGACAATGATATCCACTAATTGTCGGATAGTTCTTACAGTTTTTTTGTGCATTTTCTCCCACTCATCTTCTGACCTTCAAATTGGTTTTACAGTTCTTAATTTAATTAGATCACATAAATCCTTGTAATAA